AGCTGAAAAGGAGTTAAAAAACCAAGATTAGAACAACCAGCCGAAAGATGGGAAGAAGATCCATATCCTGCAATATATATGGCAAACTTTGCGTAAAAAAACATATATAGCAAACGATTACTCATATACATATGTAGGCATGGATTAGAGAGAGGGGAATGGAGAAATGTCACGACGTCGCGAACGCAACACATCGGAAAGTAAACAAACAAGGGGATTTGGATTTTAGACTGGGGATTCAGTGTGGTGAAGCATAAGGGGTCCCTGCCGACCTTTTCATCTCGCGGGGATGCCGCTGAAGAAAAGCATTGCCGAATAACGGGAAGCTGCAACCTCACGAAGCTGAGGAGAGAGACGATGTAGGAGCTGACCTGAGTATGACGACGGCTAAGATTTAGACGGACACCACCGCAGACTCGGACTGTATGGCTGGAACCAGGCCACCGCGGCCGGCGGAGAGGAGAACCGAATGGGGAAGCTGGGCACGACATCTGGTGACGCTGTCGCCGCCAACCGCGCGGCACCCTAGTGTGATCTGCTTTCATCTGATGGCGGGCGGGCGGCGCATTCACGCGTCAAATCGTCGTCGTCTCTGCATTCTTTGGGTCCGACGGAGGAGTAGAGGCAAAGCAGGGCAGGGGAAAAGATGGATTTTGCGTCCAATGGACAGGGCCCATCGACGTTCCTGCTCCGGCAGGAGAGAGCGGTGTCGCCGGGCGGCGTGGGCGCGAATCCAGGGAGAGGCGACGGAGGGAGCGAGGAAGAGGCGAGCAGGTGACGGAGGGAGCGAGGAAGATATCGTGGAGGAGGCGATGCGCCGGACCCAACCACATAAACGGGGTAGGCAATCACAGGACACCAAAAGGAGACCTCGACACGCACGAGCCCTCGGAACAGAGCACGTGGCAGTGAACAGTACCAGGGGCGCTGAGAATGCGCCGATTCTAGAGCTTAGTGAACAGTACCAGGGGCGCTGAGAATGCGCTGTTTCTAGAACTTTATGGAGTTTATAATATGTCTCATTTTATACTACTCGATCATTTCCATCTTAATCAGGAGATAAATTCTGTTAGCTATTGTTACGAAAGAAATCTATATCTTTTATAAAGTTCACTGGCTACGATATTGTTACTCTTTTTTCTACTTTCTTCCTTATTATTTTTTAATCATATCTTATATCTCTCTCGTCTCTTTCCAAATCTCCATTATCCCCACCACCGCGCTAGGCCGCTAGCCGCCCTGCATCCCAACGCTGCCCTTCCCCTTGCACCGTCCATCTGTCGCCGTCATCCCCACCGTCGATCGTTGGCATGAGGAGAGATGAGTAGCTCGAGAACGACAATGCGTGGATTCATGGGCATCAGCAGTTCAGCACCCAATCAAGCATCCCAGAAGAAAAGAGTCGGTGAAATCTTGTTTTATCCAACTCCTCTAGCTCTCGCGGACCTCTCTTTAGCCTATTTTTTAGGATGTCGTATGTGGAGCTGTTTGTTGTTCCCCATTTAATAGTGTTGCGCCTGAAGTTGCTCAAAAAGCGCTACCGCATGCAGGGCGAAGGTATGTTGTTGTTAAGGGTGCAAATGCGCCCCCAAAATGCAAAAAAAAACATAGGTTTGATAAAAAAAATTCACCATATATACACCTCAATAACACATCTATAGACAAACAAGACAAGTGCATCGTTCTATAATTTGCACTAACTTTGCCACTAACCACATGGAGCCTTAGGCATCCTTTGAGAAATGTTTTTTCAAGCTTCAATTTCTCACTATAAATCCTGTAGCTATCTTGTTCGTGCAACCGTAGGCTGTTGCTGCAAACTATTCCATCCATTCTAATTAACATAAGTGTCGTTCTCAACCTTGATCAAATATATAAAAAAAGTATTAGTATTTATAATAGATCGTTAAATTTATTTTATAATAATAAACTTATTTGAAGATACAATTATATATTTGTATTTTTTCTATAAATCTAGTAAAACTTAAAATGTTTGATATGAATACCATTTATATATTTTTTTTGATAGATAGAGGGAGCCCTTGTTTAGTTGGAGGAATTTGGATTTTGGGGCTACTGTAGCACGTTCGTTTTTATTTAGCAAATAGTGTTCAAACATAGACTAATTAGACTCAAAACGTTCATCTCGCAATTTCCCACCAAACTGTGCAATTAGTTTTTCTTTTCGTCTACATTTAATGCTCCATGCACGGGGCGTAAACATTCGATGTGACAGGTACTGTAGCAACTTTTTGGAAGTTGGGGTGAAACTAAACAAGGGCGGAGTATGGTTTTTATGACGTGGACCGTTAGACGTGACACCTTTGAGGGGGAAAAACTGTCGTCCTGTTCACTTTTAATGTTTGTTGAACATTATTTTTTTTCATACAATAAATCAGCCATGCAATAATGTTTTCCTCTCAAAAAAGCCAGACCAGCCTTATTACTCAAACAAACAGGACACGTGTTGAACCCGGCTGTTAACTTATAAACCGTACTTTTTCACAGTGGATGCGTATTTTGCTCGAGATCAGAGCTGACACCCAAACGACCGGACACGTCTGCCCTGGCTGTTCCGAACTGGCCTGACTGGATGCGTCTGTGCTAAACGATGGAAAGACGCGGCAAATAAACAAACACCTGCGGGTTCTGCCGCGACTGCGAGTGATGAGTGGGCCTCGCCGTCTCGGTCGGTTGGCGTGTCGTGTCAAGCTGACGAGCCGAAGAAGCACGCACGCACAGGCGAGGGCAGTGAGGTGTCCGCCGGAAGCGGCCCTGCTTCGCACGCGTGTCCGCCTCCAGAACCACACGTAGTACTACGCGACGACCCAGAAGCTAGCTGTCGTCGCAAGCCTCGCTCCTACGACTGCAGACTGCTCCTCATGGAATTCGAAATCCTGTGGCGTGGCACGCGTGCGTGCGTTTGGTGGATCGAGTGTGTGATTTTTCGTGCGTGCGTCATCCATTCATTCATGGCACCTATTGTCGTTGACGTCCGCGGCTCCACCCACTGCGGCACTGCCGCCTGCCTTTCCTCACGATTTCTAGCTAGCGAAGAACCCAAAAATTCTGTGTGACTACGATACATATCTTGGTCCCTGTTTAGTTCCACTTAATTGGCAATTAATTTTGGCGACTATATAAATTAGATTCTCAAAACGTTCGTATTAAATTTCCCCACCAAATGTGTAATTAGTTTTAAATGTTTACGCTTTAATCAAAAACTAATTAAATGACATTTGATGTAGCCTCTTTTTTAGATTTTGGACTTCAACTAAACACGCGCTACGATACATATCTTGGCCGACATTTTTTTCCCTTCTTTTTCTTTCCTATACATATACGCCAAGTTTCTTGTGCCATGAATTTATCGTTTTTCCATGCTTTTTATTTACCGTGGGCTTATTTGATGACCACAAGCAGCATCTGCTACGCTACCATAAAAAAAGTAATAAAGGGTACACGGTAATTGACCGTGTGGATGGGGTGGCTTGTTATCATGCTAAGCCTATTTGCTTATTGGTTTCGGTCAATCCAAACTAGCCAATCAATAGTATTTTCCTCTCACAACAAATTAGCATCAGCCAACTTAAATTAACACTAACACCGACCAGCGAACAGCCCCGCTATGTTTGGTTTCCTCCCAAAAACTAAACCCCGTGTGAAAAACCAAAAATTCATTTAAATAGCCTGCCCCGTGCGTGACCCAACCGCACTACCGCAGGCTGAAAAAGATAAAAATATAAATAAGGAGGTGTTTAGTTGATGAGTTAAAAAAAAATTTTTTGGTATCATATTGGATGTGTCGAACGATATCGGGAGAGGTTTTTGATATTAATAAAAAAATAAATTACAAAACCTGCTAGACGAATCTAATGATACTAATTAATCGATCATTAGCACATGTGGGTTACTGTAGCACTTAAGGCTTTTTATGGACTAATTAGTCTTAAAAGATTCATCTCGCGATTTCCAACCAAATTATGCAATTAGTTTTTTTTTCGTCTACATCTAATGCTCCATACATGTGCCGTAAGATTCGATGTGACATTTTAGAGTGAATTTTTTTTTGAACTACCGCCGTGTTTAGTTCCATAAAGTTGGAATTTGGGGCTACTGTAGCACGTTCGTTTTTATTTGGTAATTAGTGTTCAAACATGGACTAATTAGGCTCAAAACGTAAGTCTCAAATTTCCCACCAAATTATAATTAGGCTCAAATCGTCTACGTTTAATCTCTCTATACATGCCCACAAACATTCAAATGTAACATCTTGAAGCACTTTTTGGGATTTTGGGATTGAACTTTTTAGGCCTTGTTTAGATACCCTCAAAATTCCAAGTTTTTTCACTCTCTCTCATCACATCAATTTTTAACTGCTTGCATGGGAGCATTAAATGTAGGTAAAAAATAACTAATTCAACGTTAGTTGGAAATCACGAGATGAATTTTTTTTTCCACGATTTTGTATGGAACTGAATACGTGCTAAAGAGGGCCTGAATCTATATAGAGAGGCAGGGAGGAGCATAAAAAATCTGGCACGTCCACCACGTGCTTTTCTGCTCTCTGCGCACTTCCATAAATACCCCCGTCTCCCTTCTATTCTTCCGTTCGTTTCGTTCTCCGCTTCATCGATTCTTTCACTCCAGCTGCAGCAGCAGCAATTGCGCTAATCGCCCCCGTTAATCCCACCCAAATCCGCGATATTCCCAAGAATCTTCTCCTCCCTCCCCCTCTCGCGCTATATCTCTCTCCCATATCCCATTGCGCTGCACTGCTCCCACTCGCTCGGATTCCTGCTCGCTTTCTCCGCCTCCGCCTCGGATTCCATCGCCGCCCCTTTTTCTTCCTTCTTCCCTTGACCGCCCGCCCAGGACTCTCCTTCGCGCTTCTTAGGCAGCTCGTCCTTCGCGCTTCTTAGCCAGACAGCCGTCGGCGAGAGAGAGAGAGAGAGAGAGAGAGGAAGGGATCGCGCGGCGCCACCGTACCCCGCCCGGACATGTGCGTGGAGGGGCTGGACGACGCAGCAGGGAGGCTCGGCTTCGGAGACCAGGAGATCGACAGGCGCCCCGGTGCCGCGGTGCGTATATACCCCCGTGATTCACCGTTGATTCTTTATTTCGCTCGCTCGCTCGCTCGCCGGATGAAATTTCGTGCTTTCTCCTCGCGCTGGCGACCCTCCCTCGCGCGGTTCCGTCTGCTGCTCAACCGCGGGGTTCGGTCGGTGGCGGAGACGGAACCGATTTTTCTCCAGCGGTGGTTGGTTGCTTCCGGGTCACCCTTTTCCTGTCGAAATGCAAATGCTTCCTGTCTGTAAAATTTTTTTTTGGTAAAGTGTAGGTAGGACTCGGATAGGTTAGTTATTATTATTTATTGGAGCGCCAGTAGAATTAAACAACTCCCGTATTTTTAGCTTCAATATAATTCTTTTTCTCCCTCACACACTAGTATAGTAGGTGTGAAAAGGGGAGATGCTCTGAATCGTTCAACGGGGACAAGTTTCTAGCACAAAATTCAGGTTGCGTGGGGAAAAAAAAAGTTTGTGTGGTTGTACTACTAGCTTGCGGGACAATTTTTTGTTTCTGCATTGCCCTGTTTGCATTGTACTTTTGATTCTGTGACGAATTTGTGGTACTTATGATATGTGCATGTGATGTACTGGTCTGCCAAGTCTTTTCATTTCGACCAAGCAGTATTCAGTACTGCAAAGTTCACACTGTACTACTCCTGCGTCCTTCATCTACTTCAGATCAAAGTCAATCAAATGTCGAGAAATAGTGAGCCGTGATGCTACTAATACAAGCCTTAGTGATGCTACTAACACTAATCCTTAGAGGACAACATACTGTTTAATATATAGTTGATGATAATCCATCATCTGATCGGTTCTTAAGCATGTATGGGTAGATGGCAAAGCTCAGTTGGTACTTTACTTGTTCCTCAATGGAGGAGGAGAAAAAAAGGGTCAAAGACTCAAAAGGTCATCATGTTGTTCACTCTCTTGATGATTGGGCACTCTGTGAACAACTCTTAGTGATCCATGTTCTTTATAGCACTCTTATCTATAGCTCTCGGGTATACATAATGTCATCTGGTAACCCGTGGTGGCCTTAAGACCTTAATGGGGTAGCTTTGTTCCTTTACCTGTTATAGTGATGTTGCAAACAGGAAGTGGATTATGGAGTGGCGCGCAAGAATGTACACCTGCAGGCTTTACAGGGCTCTTCTAATTAGCTCAACTATGTCGAACAACCGGAGTTTCTGATGTCCTATCATATCGCCACAGCTGTTTGCGCCTTTGCCAAGTCTATATGATGTTATAACCTTTTTTGGCTGGAAGACAAGGTGACACGTAGTACGCCTGTGCATTCTTGGGTGTTTTGTTTATTATTGCTCTCTCTAGAAATGGTTACCTGTAGTCTTTCCTGTCCAATAGTGATTTGCCTTCTGTCACTAACTTTACCAAATTGGAGTTCTGATTTTATGTCGCTATCAACCAGCTGTATTGCTACTTAAGTACTGCGCTTTCTCTGTGATGGTAAGAAGTATATCTAGGGAATTCCGGTTCTTGGCAGGGTGGGAGTGCGGGAGTAGAATTTTGTTCATTGTCTTGACTTAGCCTGTTCGTTTTCATGGTTTCTCAATCGAATCTTATATAGTGCTTATGTTTTGGTTGAGTTGTTTGTCTTTTCACTGGGCTCTAATCCTCTTTGGATAATGTGCAGATGGAGAGAGTTTGTGAGAACACGGTGTCTGCTGAGTTCAAGCAGACTAAGCTGAACAACTTTGTCCCGTTCATCCGGTCAGGGGAGTGGTCTGATATTGGAAGTCGCGATTACATGGAAGATGCCCATGTGTGCATCTCTGATCTGGCAAAGAATTTTGGCTATAACTCGGTGGATGATGAAGTAATTTCCTTCTATGGGGTAATTACCTGTTCACTCTTAAATATCCAATTCCTACATCAACAAGGAAATCATATGGCTTTTGGTTCTTCTGAAGCGATCTGCCTTCGTTGTAAATTTTATGCGCTTATAGAAAATTAATACCTTTTCGAGAATTAGGAGTTTGTGTGTGTTAACCTCTTTTAGCAGTACCAGTTAGAGGGTTGCTTCCCCGTAGTTTCGTACTTGCAGGAATATGAAATATCCTATGTTTCTGTTCTCTCACCGGTTTGATTCCTATTCACAGGTGTTTGATGGCCATAATGGCAAAGATGCTGCCCATTATGTCCGTGATAACTTGCCACGGGTCATCGTGGAAGATGCTGATTTTCCTCTTGAGCTTGAAAAGGTAGTCAAGAGGTCATTCGTGCAAACTGATAGTAAGTTTGCAGAGAAATTCTCTCATCACAAGGGACTTTCTTCTGGAACGACAGCACTTACAGCAATGATTTTTGGAAGGTATTGCTTCACATCCAAATGTAACTCCTGTTTGTGGTTTATCTATTTATTGTGCTGTTTAATCACATGATGGGAAGCTGCAAAATCTGATCAGAAATTTAGTGTGTGCAGTAGATATTTAGTTCACCCTAGATTTCTGCCTGTTTCTGGGCATGGATTTTTTGGATTAAGTCTTCCATTAGAAGGTACTTGAAGGGCATCAGAGTTTTTCTTCAATGGTTGAACCATAGGCCATCAGATTCTGAGTTTAGGACCCTCGATATCATTTAGGTTGAGTGCAAAAAGTTCTTTAGCTTAAAAGACACAATTGCTAGTTATTTGAAGTCATTGCTGGTGCTAACTGCTAGCGTATCTTGTGCAGGTCCCTTCTGGTGGCCAATGCCGGTGACTGCAGAGCAGTGCTCTCACGGCGTGGGACTGCCATTGAAATGTCCAAGGACCACAGGCCTTGCTGCGTCAATGAAAGAAAGCGTGTAGAGTCACTTGGTGGCTATGTCGATGACGGTTACCTAAACGGTCAGCTGGCTGTCACCAGAGCACTTGGGGACTGGCATCTCGAGGGCATGAAAGAGATGGGCGAGCCAGGAGGGCCCTTGAGCGCCGAACCAGAGCTCAAGATGGTCACGCGGACAAAGGATGACGAGTTCTTGATAATCGGTAGCGACGGCATCTGGGACTTCTTCTCGAGCCAGAACGCCGTGGATTTCGCGCGGCGGAAGCTCCAAGACCACAACGACCTGAGGCTGTGCTGCAGGGAGATTGTCGACGAGGCGATACGGCGGGGCGCCAGGGACAACCTGACGGCGGTGATGGTCTCGTTCCACCAGGACACCCCTCCCCAGAGCAGAGCGAACAGGACTAGGGACAGCAGGGTCGCGCGGAACATATCCGCCGAAGGGCTTCACAGCCTCAGAGTGCTCCTGGAAGGCCAGTGACGGCGCGGCGGCGCCATTGCTGCCGTTCGTTCCTGATGTTGTGCTACGTTGCTGAGTGTTAACTGTAAGTAGCGATTTCCGGTATCTTGGAGCTGTTCTTCCACTGCCAGTCGACATGCCAGGGTGGGTGGGTGACTATTCTTGTCCTTCCGAGAATAAACCAACGAGCCTGAGATCTCACTAGCTGATTGTGAGACGCTGTAAATAATATGAACGTTGGAGCTAGTTTATTAAGGACGAGTTAGCAGTGTGCATCCAGGGGGCTTTTGTGGCTCTGTATGTGATGTTGTCCCCTGATTTTCTGTAAATAAAACGATGATGGGAGTTATCGATGTAATCGAACTAGTGTTCTATTATGTGTGCTCCCCATGGATTCAGAGCTACAGATCCATGTTCAGTAGTACATACTATTCGGTTCATGCTTTTACTCTTTTTATTTACACAAGTTTTTACAGGTGATGTTAGTAGTAAAACAGACGGATGCTCGCGAACTGCTGAAAATCCAGTGCTCAAGAATTTGGACACAGGGAATCTGTAGCCATACAGGATATCAGCTAACCAAACGAACAGAACAAGATCTGACAGGGGAACCCGGACGAGATTTGAATGATTTCACATCGTACCATCCGATCTGCCATAGCATGATAGGAAGCCGTCGAAATCAAAACGGTTACGAAGAGTCCCTGTCATGAGACCGTTGGAGAACGACTTGGGTTCGGATCTGACAGACCACCGGTGCCCCGCCTGATTGCCTCCCTGTACCGGCGCGTGCGTGACTTGCATTGCATGGTCAACCGAGATCATCTGCCCGTGCGCCCACACGTCTTTTGATGCCTGCTTTGCAGCTAATCTTGAATAGATCTACCCTCCTAACCTAGCATTTGCTCCTAATGGTGACATGGTGTCATGGTTGCATGCATGACCCAGGTCTCCTTTTTTTTTTACAACAGGACAGCACTCCTTTGTCTGGCTCCCGAGACATTTGCTTGCCACGCACACATTGAGAAACAGGCTCCGTCCAGAGGAGCCACCGCCCAGCTTAGCAGGCCCTGTTCTAGCTCTAGCTCGTCTCTCCCCGAGACGAGGAACACGCGAACAAATACGCAGCCTCTGCTGCGCGACATGCGGGCAACTTTCCAGGGGCAATGATGCACGCGGCGCCAGGGACCAAACACAAAACCTGACGACGGCCGGTGGAGGGGTTTGTCCTAATTTGTCTCAGTGCTTGCGGGTTCAGCATCAGCGCAACCTAATCCAGGGACCAGCGGCCTAAACACGGCCCAAATTTCGCGCAGGCGGCCGTCCCTAAAGGGCGACAGCCGACAGGGGCACCATAGACTAAGCTACCGTCTCGCACTCTCGCTGCCTCGCATGGGTATGTGAGTTGACGACAGACAGTGGTACATACAGCACAGCCAGTTTTATAGTAATGCTGTACCTTTGCGTAGGGTGTGGACAGCCCACTCTCCTGGATCCTGCTAGGCATGAGTGCAGCAATCACTGTGAAGAAGAAGAAGAAGAAGATGTATAAATATGGCATGTCGTAGGCCAGATGGTTCAGACCACTTTGCCTGTTTCTAGTAGCTCCTGCGTTCCAACTGAGCTGAGGAGTAAAGGTGCAATAGCATTTCCTCTCTAGCTCTGAAGTGTCTCTCCATTCACGCTCGACGACCTCTACGCATACAAATGAGGACTACCACTTCCTTGTCATTGGCTGCCGCCGCCACCGTCTTGCTGCTTCTGTTGCTGACGACCACCGTGGAGGTTGAAGCCATCCGGCTGGACGCCGAGAGCCGCGCGGCCGTCAACCAGCAGCAGCAAGTGAACGTTGCCAATGTAAGCGATCCTGCTTTTTTCTTCACCGCTGTGAAAATCTCTGGATCCAATGTTCTTGCATGATGCATTGGTCCGTCGTTTTGATCGAGCGGGTGCTGACCCTTTGTTCTTGTGACTCAGCAGAAACCAAACCAGAACGACTTGACGCAAAAGGACGCGCGCGCGCCCGGCGAGAGGTCGTTACCTGCAGGCGAGAGCGAGACGAAGAGGAGCGTGGCTGTCGCTGTCTCTGTCGCTGGACAGGAGATCGTCAAGGCAACGGCGCACAAGCTGCCTGAGTTTCATGAGGACTACTACGGCGCCAGCGTCCATGAACCTAGGCATCACTGAGCAATGCATGCATCGTGCAGCTGCAGCCTTTCTCCTGGCCTGGCTGCTCAGATAATCAGATTGTTTCTCTGATCCCCTTTGTGCAAAGAGGAAGTAGGCTAGATACTAGAGCTTAGTTGTCAGCAGCTGTAGGCTGCCATAGTTACCTCAATTACTCTGATGAGCCTGAGTAGCGAGCTAGCAGATAATCTTTTTTCTTTCTTTTTTTCATCTCCTGAAAGGGAAATGTAACAGTTTTGATGCGCTAACTCTATTTTGGCAAAGCCAAAGCAAATCTCTCTTATACGCTGTCAGTGCATACCGTGGTGCCACGGAGTGCATGCGTTGTATTGGAAGTCATGTGAGCGAAATCTAGGTTTGTGCGCCACTGCAAGCTTGTCCAGCGGCGACAATGCAACGGCCTGTCGAGATACTGCAAATAGCCTTGGACGTGATGTGATTCTAGTAAACTTGAACAGTGACTATCTGTCTATCTTACTGTTGCAACATGGACCAGGCTTTCAGAGTTCCAGAGACTCGCCGCAGCATGTAGAAGGGCAGGAATCCACTGTTCGGATCAGGCGATCAGCAGTTCAGCACCAACTGGTTGAGCAGAGCATAGGTAGAAGATAATGCTGTAGCTAGGAAACAACAAGCCAACAACTGCATAAACTCGACTTTTTTTTTCACCCTCTCGACAGATCCACTCAAAAAAATGTTATCAGGAAGAGGTTTTGTGCCCTGGTTTCAGGTTCAAGGACCAAGGTGAACTGGTGACCTGTAATGTAATGTAAGGGCATGCAATGCAATGCAATTGGTCGGTAGTTGTAAATTGGCCCTAGACGACGGGGTGGCCACCGGCGCGCACTGCAGAGCTAGAGCAGACACAGATGCGGGCAAACGACGTCTCTACGTGTGAGCACTGAGCAGGGCAGCAGGCACAGGCAGTACCAACTCCAACAGTGGAAGCGTGCTTTGGGGCAGCTAGCCAGCGCGAGTGTGCTCAGCTCGGCACTGCAGGTGCCGGATAAGCTGCAGTGTTCTTCGCCGGGGCTGTCCTTTCTGTCCGGGGTCCGGGGCGGCCGGACGGTGGATGGGTGGTGGAGTAGAGTATTCGTGGCGTTACTTTCACGTGCCCAATTATCAGCTCATGATTGATCAAGCAGCTTATCATCCTTTTGGTTTGCTATTACTATTACTATTACTATATTATTATGAACCGGCACAACTAAATGTTGGCGAGGACTAGCTCGTAGAGGCTAGAGAATGTGGCGCGTGACGTACTTTCACGGCTATCTAATTTAGGCCTGGGCTTTGCTAAAAAGCCACGGTTGAAAATACTATTCGCTGATTTGTTGTGAGAGAAAAATATTGTTTGTTCGTTGAAATAATATGGCTCATAAAATAGCCTTATTTGCTTCTTCACTAGTATTGCTTCTTCCTACTACAGTAGCAAAAATGTAGGGGAACGGGCAGGCTACAATAGCTATAATTATTTCTAAATCTGTCACCATTTGACGCGTGTAGCGGAAGAAAAATTAGAGCCTGTTTGGAGCTGCTCACAACAGAAAGCTGTTTTTTTTTTTGCCAAACACTTATTTTCAAAACAGCTTCATGGGTGAAGCTGTTTTTCTCCTCCTCTCACAGAGACATGAGTTGGGATAAAGCTGAAAATAATAGCTTATTACAGCTTCATCTCCCATATGTGGGCCTACTGTGCACAAAAGACCTTTTGCCAAGTAGAGAGAGAGAGAGAGAGAGCGAGCACGCTCGCGGGAGCCGGGAGGTAGTGGCCGGTCGGTCGGGGCGTGGTCGCTAGAGCGTGGCCTTCGCCGAAGAGCCGTCGTGCGGCCGGATGGCCGCCGAGCGCCAGGGGGCGCGGCCACCGAGGAGCCTAGGGCGCTGCAGTCCTAGGCGGCATGGCCGCCGGGGAGCCGGGGCGCAGCCGCGGGAGCGCAGGAGTCCGGAGAGGTTGGGATTGTTCGATTCTTGGATGGCGAGAGCTCGTCCCTCCCGTGCTTGGACGTGGACGCGGACGTGGCCACCCTTGCGCCAGGACACACGCGACACACGGACGGGGCCACCGCCGGACTACGTGTCACGGGAAAGTTGGACTGCCTGTCGGGAAAGTTCGCCCGTCGAAGCCTGCGCGGCGAAGCGCGAGTTGCCGCGGCCATCGAGGCACGAGGCGAACATGGCCCCCACCGGGCGCAGCTACGACCGGTCGCGCATATGCCCATGAGGATGCCTAGGATGCACGGAAGCCGCCGAGGATGCGTGTCGGGTTCATAAATCCGGGGTCCCCAATGGACCCGCTTCCCTACAAAACTCGGCCCAGAACGACGGCGCAACGACAACACACGCCTGGGTCAACCTAGATACATAATGACAGGCCAAGACCACGATCCGGTCGTCGACCGACACCTCTAGCCAGGAGATCTGGTCGAAGCCCCGACCTCTAGGTCGCGGGCTCCGCCTCGTCCAATCCCCTTTCTCCGACCGAGGATACGCCGGACCTCTGCTCGCCTCTCTTTCCCGACCGACACGGTCGGGGCCGACTGGGAACGACCAACCGGGGATGCTCGCTCGGTGTGGACCCGGAGAGCAGGCGGAGCAGATAGGGTAAGGCGCTCAAGTCAACCGAGTACCGAGGACCGTACCTTGTCATACCCTACGCACCTGCTGGATGGTGCCACCAGGCCATGACAGACGGACACTCTACAACCTTCCCGACGTGTCAGAGCATAAACAATGTTGTGGGTGCCGATAGCCATCCCGTGCCCGAAGGCGTGAGCAACAAGATTAGGCAGCACACATATACGCTCTCTCTCTCTCTCTCTTTCGACTTGTAAGGCTATTCCTTCCAACTATAAAAGGGGATGCGCTCTCTCTAAAAAACGACGGCTCTCTCTCTCTCTCGACTCTCTCAACAACTTGAGAACACAACAGCTCAACAAGCTTTAGAGACACACAGAGCATACACTCCAATACTTAACATATGTTAGAAACTCCGTCACTCTCGGCCACTCGGTTCAGAGTCCGATCGGGCCTCTAACATCCCCTTCTCATTTCTATTCGTTTGTAACCCCACAGTAAACTTTGAGCACCAAGACTCAGGAATAAAATCATCGACCGACTGAAACTTGACGTAGGGCACGTTGTCTGAACCAGTATAAATCTTGTGTCACTGAGTGCTAGGCAACATCCGATCACAACGCACGACAAAATTATAAATATTTACTTGTCGGACACATTTCGCACCGACAATGCGAGAAGAAGACAACGGATGGAATGCTCTCTCTCCGTGAAAGTAGATGGAAAAAAAAAAAAGAAAAGAAAAGAAAAGAAAAGGGTATTATTATCATTTCTTAATTTTTGTGTCGCATGTGAAATTGTTTTGCCAAACAAAGTTACAAAAATAGCTTAGCTTTACAGAGAAAGCCGCTTGTGAAGCTAAAAGGAAAAAAAAACAGCTTCACTAGCCAAACAGTGCGCATTAGAGTAGTCCGGTCCGAAGCCGTGCACGTCGATGCAGTGAAAGTAGGTGTATATCCTCACACACCGACAGTATACACGTCCACCTGCCTCGCGTTAGTCGTGATCAACGTAGCAGCAACAGTAGCACTGTCTCGTGCTAGCAACTGGTGCGTGGCTTAGGCTTAGGCTGGAGAGGACGAAGTTCTATTTTCCATGGGGTGTTAGGTTTATATATGGATGAGAGCTCCGTATCTCTAAATCAACTAGCGGTACGGTACTTGTACGTTCCACCTCTTATGATGGGCTTTAAACCCGTTAATTAGAGAAGGCCTTCATTAAAAGCCCATTCATACTGTATTAATAGATAATTATTATGTTTTATTTTGCTTATGGGTCCAATCCATAATGGGTATGGTTGCTTCTTAGTCACATCACCAACAAAAAAATGGCCTCGCATTTTAAATGGGGTGTGCAATTTGTTATGCGGTGCTTGCACTAACGATAATACTAGCTATTTTTTGTTAGATTCGATGCTAACACAACGAAAGGATTAACCATGTATAGAAAATTGACAAATGATTGACTCATTTTTTATAGATGGTTATTGTGCGCATATGTTATGAGTTTAAAGTTGGAAGGTAAACCACACGTCCATTCATTTTTCATTCATTTACTCTATCAACAACCGACGTCCATCTACAGTACGCCAATTTCAATGAAAATGAGAGTAAAATCACAAAGTTAGAAAAATTAAAGGAAAGATCACCATTATAATATGCTTATAAGGGCAGCAAATACCAAATTCCCCAGATAAAAGATTTTTTTCCTTCTCCGAAGGTGGGTGTTCAATTTCTGAAAATATTACTGCATGTGCCAACTATTTGCCCTGTCAAAAACTGCGCCGCGTTTTTAGCCCTAGTAGTTGGCCTGCTTGTAGCCCAATCCTCTCCTGTGCGGCCCATTTTCCTTATTTTTGACCGCCCGTCGCATAGGCCCGCCGCCCGCGCGGGCGATATTACTGGCCGACGGAGGCATTATTATTATCGTCGGCATTATTATTATTGTTCTGGCAACGAACGTCGATGCAATTCGTTCGTTGGTTCAGTAGTCACTGATGAGCGCAACCAGGGCCCATTAGGTTATTATTGCGCGACACGCCGCCGCGGCGTTTCTGTCCAACACGCTGTGCTACGCCTGTGGAGGATACCGGTGCCATGAGCCACGTCAAAAGGCAAATATAGTCATCAACTACCAGGTCCAGGTGCAACAGACAGAGCACATTTGTTTCTCTGCGGCCTTAGTTAGCCTGCTTGGGTAGATGGGTTCTTTCAGATCCATCGCCTGTGCGGCCCATTTCATCTACATTTAATGCTCTATGTACATTCGCAAGATTCCTTTGAACAAGGCCTGCAGGTGCTGTTGCTGCCTGCCGCCAGCTCTTGGTAGTAGTCTACTCCATGGAACGGACAACAACCCAACCCAAGCATAATAACATATAATAATGACCATACCTGAAAAAGGAAACCTGGTAGGCACCAGACTGC